CTTAACCAAAACCGGAAGATTTGAAACTATGTAATTGTTAGACAGATTGTGATTGCCAAGCGTTGGTATTGTTATGCGGGAGAGTGTTGGAGGCCATCACAGACTGCACTGAAGCTAATGGCTATGCTAGCTACTGTTCATTCAGGCTAAACGGAAAAAGCAATTAAGCTCCTTTGTTGAATATATATATAGCTGAAACAACTGAAACCACCGCCCAAGGTGCTGAGCCACATGGAAAGATATGAGCAAGAACTAACTCAGGAAGAATAAGAATTCCCTGGGATTGATTGAAAACACAGGGGCTGGGCACTGATTGGGAGCCTATATCTATTTTGTCTGGTTTCTCATTTTGGTATTTGGATTGATTCTGTTCTAACAGAGGGGCCAAATTAATTTTCACCATGAATCTACCTTTCTAAAAAAGGCCTTACAGCTAGAGATGCACCAAAAATGCCCCAGAAAAACTAGAAGCTGATGAGTAATCTCATATTGGAGACAGCACCTAGTTAGTAGCTGGGACACTAGACTGGGAGATGGGAGATCAGGATCCTCTTTCTGGGCTCTGACACTGACTTGCTTTGTGACCTTGGGCAAATCCCTTCATTTCTCTTTGCCTCTGTTTCCCCTCACTTTGTCTATTTAGACTGTAATCTCTTTGGGATAGGGACTGTTTCTAAGTACATGTTTGCACAATGCCTGTCACAATGGGCCCTGACCTCAGTTGGGTAGTTAAATGCTATCACAGTATCAATGTTTGACAGATAGCCACTCCCGTTTGAAACAATATTCAAATGCACCATCTCAGAAAAGTGTTTTAATGTCAGCCAGCATGGATTTGGGCAGAATGGTGATATCACTTCTGGAAGCACGTGGCACAAGTCAGCTCTGAGTTAGTAGGTGCTATTTCAACTGCAGGGAAGGGAAGAATATGGCCCACGTTCTTTTACATGTAACACTGCCAGGCATGACTTATGTATATTGCAGAGCTAACACACCCCAAACCAAGCAAGCATGTCAGAGGTGTCTGTCGATGGAGATGTGCAGGAGGGAAATTAAAATCCTAGCTCATCTTTGCTAACGGCTTCAAACCAACTTTTCTTCTTCACAGCCAGCACTCTGCAGGAATCCCCACCTGAACATCTAGCCACCTGAATCTACCTTGCTGCTTAAGGCTTGTTCTTTTACTAATCACATAGCCAAATGGAAAACATTTGCTCCTGTAAGCATCGCCCCTTTGACAGTCCTAAAGGGAACAATTTTTGGCAAGCCGCCCCTCCCCTTCTCAGACTGATATGTCTGCCACACTTGTTCTTGTGGGCAGCACAGTGACACAAAAAGAACCCAAAGCCACATGGGGCTCCAGGAGCAATGAGAAGGAAGAGGTTTGGAAGTGAGGTCGGCCAGTTTGCAGGATGAGAGAAAGCTGTGCCTGCAAAAGGGAGTCTTTTTTTTAACTGAAAATTATGTTCCTGGTTAATATTTAAAAGCTAAGAGACTGAACACCTGAGAGGCAGTGATCATGTTTTCCTGGGAGCCAGGAATCTGCCCCCATGTTCCTGTCCATTTTATAAAATACAGAATTTTTCCCTGGCTTTGGACTCCACTGCAGTTTGGAGACCTGAGTGAACCACTGGCCTGCTGAGTGGGGCTAGCTAGCCTGTGTACATCAGGAACCAGCCCCCCCTTAGTGTGTCACATGTTGCCAACCTTCTGTCCCCTCACAGACCTCCCAGGGGGCACCCCATCCTTCTCATGACAGAAGTCCTTTGGACCAGCATGTAGAGTGCCAGAGAAGTGAGATGGCTTGACAGAGGAGAATGAGTGGGCCTACCCCCATCTCTCTCCCTTCCACACCCACTCCCTGATGCCCATGGAAAATGCCAACCCTTGCCCCTGCCATGTTTCTCACTCGAAAAAGCTGGTAGCCAAAGAAATTAATGTGAATGATGAAAGGCTGGAATAAAGCTGACACTTTGCAGGATTGCTCATTCCAGATGAAATTTATCCCAAGACAGAAGGCCTGCCCATGTCCCTATATACCACCTAAGATGGCATTGATGCATAGGGCCTTGTGTAGGTTGTCTATGGGATTTAGAACACAGGGTTGTCTCTAACTAGACATTTCTGAGGGGAAGTTACTTGTTCCCGACAGCCTCGGAGTGCTGTTGTGACAAACTACTTTTGTGACAAACTGTGACAAACTGCCCATAAAACCCTCAAGGAAAAGGAGAAGGTAGGTGTGGGAAGGAAGGGTGGCTGGCTATGGGACTGGCAGAGAGCTCAAAAGATCTGGGTTGGATTCTGAGCTGAACCACAATAATCTTCGGTGAGTCATTCATTATTATTGGTATTACTGTATATTGCACTAGGCTCTGTACAAACACAGGACAAAAGACAGTCCTCACCCCAAAGAACTTGAAAGCGAAGTATAAGACAAGAGACAACAAATGGATACAAACAGATGCAGGAGTACAAGGAAAAAATTCACTAGCATGATAAGCAGTGGTCTCAGCAGCCTCGCTCAGCTCCCATTTAGCTACATAAATAAGTAGCCAGATTTTCAGAAGTGTTCAGTTCATTGGGTATGGAGCTCTTTTGAAAACTTGCCCATAAAGTGTGGGAACTGCGGAGTACAGAGTTCTTTTGAAAATCTGCTTTTTATGTAGGTGTGAAAATGGGAGCTAAGCTCTTTTCAAAATCTGGCCCCCCAGCAGAGGAAGTGAGCCATTGAAAACCTGGTCCTTAAGCTCTGTACCTCAATTTCCCCACCTATAAAATGGGGATAACAATCTTCATGGGGCTGTTGTGGAGATAAATACATTAAATGTTTGTTGTGGCCCTAAGATACCAGGATGATATAGGCCAAACAAATGCACAGAATAGATAATGCATAGGAAATCTCAGAGCACGTTATAGTCCAGAGAACAGATTACTACCATGAACTATGGAAGCAGATCTGATTGAATTATAAGCTGCCAATAATTTATCTGACAATTTTGTCCAATAAATTATTTGCAAACAAATATTTTTCATTATCTGAAGCACTCTGAAGATGGTTGAATAATATTGGGCAAATAATTTGTTTGACTGAATTTGATGTTGAATTATTTGTGAATATATTTCTTTTGTTATTCCTACCAGCTTTCCCTGAGTAGATGTTAACTTGAGAGGTTCTTTTCCTGCATTGATTAAAAAACCATATGGCTGATTGCCTATGGTTAAGGGTGAAACTGTTTGTTTGCAGCTGACATATCATTTACCGGCGAATGAAGAACTCGGCTGAAATGGGCTGCGGTTCAGGCTATATAGACATCATTATGGCTATAAAGAAGTATGTTTAAATGTGTAGCTGGCTTGCTACTGACTTATGATATAAAGATGCTGGAGTAAATATAAATAAAATTCTGTCCTTTGCCAGAATCTGATAGAGCAATATAGAAACTCCCCCAGGATAAACAGCTGCATCGGAATAAGCTTGTTCATCCATCTTTCAGTGTTAAATTTGAATTGTCTCTTTAAATTTCTTAGCGCTCTGTTTTAAATAATGCTAAGTGTTTCTAAATTATACACAGCCCTGCAAGTCTAATCATAATAAATTTTGCTTTAAGAAAAAGGTAAGTACGGTAATGAAATATTAAAGTGCTCTACTTAAATATTACCATGTTTGATTTTTTAAGGACTTGGAGTTCAAGGTGGCCACATTAATCCATGCTGTAAAGAGACACTATCAAGAAGTTTACAGGCAAATATATATATAGTCATGAGACTGTTGTAGCATAACATGGTGAGATCTAAAGGTTTGATCCTGCAATCACAGCAAAATGCCCATTGACTTCAATGGGAGTAGAATCAGCCCAAATATATACATGCTTGGATGTCTGTTCTACCCTTGACCCATGCACTGAACTATGATTAACATTAAAGTGAGCACGTTCAGCCCTAGGCATTTTTCTGCCTTGGGCAAACTTCAATATGCGTATCCTTTCTGTTCTAGCTCATCTTCTTTGCTTTTACCTTTTCCTTGAGTTATTTTCCTGCAAGGTTTTTAACTTTAAAGACAAATGATCAGGTGTTTAAGGCACTAGACCATGATTCACGAGATCTGGGTTCAGTTTCCAGTTCTGTCACAGACTCACTGCATGTCCTTGGGCAAGTTTTTTAATCTCCCTGAGCCTCAGTTCCCCCATCTTTAAAATTGGGTTAATAATATTTCTTTTCTCCCATCCTTTGTTTATCTTGCCCAGGAAGGGGAGCCAGAGCCTCCCTCCCACAATGTCTCCCTCCCTCAAGCCCAGGCAGAAGGTGGTAGGGATGTACCTCCCCTTCCCATGGAGGGTGGGGCAGCTGGAGTTCAGCCTGGCACTTTGGAAGAAAAGGTCCTCTGCTGAGCAGAGCAACAACTAAATACCCAGCACCGGCAGGCCCAGCTGGCAGCAAGGGAGAATTCTGAAGCTGTGGGAGGGGCAAGTGGGATCCAGTGGGTGGAGCTAGCTTGAACCAGGAAGGGGGGATATAACCTAGGGGAGGCTGACAAGTGCAGTGAGACACAGAGGGAGCTGCAGCCTGAATGGAGGGTGGAAGGAAACATAAGGGCAATACGACTCTCAGAGTAGGGGAGACAGCAGAAGAGCGTTGAGTGTGAGAGAGAGCTAGATATGAGGGGAATCTGCTTTATTTATTCTTCATCTCCTGTCCTAACTTGTTGCTTAACAGCACTCAGCAACATTCCACATTTGGCTTGTTTCACCCCAGAGTTGGTTGTTTTTCTATGGAACTTTGTGTATAGTTGCTGTGTAAAATTTGTTCAGCTGTGAAGCAATTATGGATCCTTTGGGATGAAAGGCACTATGCACATGTAAGCTGATCTTATTTCTCATTGCCGGAGCTTTCCATTTTCCCAAACCATGTCCTTTTAACACTGCTCTGAATGTTTTATTGATGAAAAGAACATAATAACTGATGTCTCCTTTTGCCTTTTCTAATTCCTTTTGTCTATTTAGGGGCTTGATGGAAAGTCTTGTTGGCTTGTTCGTCCCTTGCTTGTGGGACAGCACTTCACATTTAGCAATGGGTCAAGAGGACTAAGGGGCACGTCTACTTCTGCCCATGCTTCTTAAAGCTGCCAAAACAGGACCAATGAAGATGTTCACCAGGCTGCAGGTGCTTGCCCTGGCTTTGCTCTCCAAGGGAGTTTTCCTTTCCCTAAGTGACCATAACTTTTTAAGAAAGGAAATTAAGATAGAAGGAGACTTAGTCTTAGGTGGTTTATTCCCAATTAATGAAAAAGGCACCGGGACAGAAGAATGTGGGAGAATCAATGAAGACCGAGGCATCCAGCGCTTGGAGGCTATGTTGTTTGCCATTGATGAAATCAACAGAGACAATTACTTGCTCCCAGGAATTAAGCTTGGAGTTCATATTTTGGACACATGTTCGAGGGATACATATGCTTTAGAACAGTCTCTGGAGTTTGTCAGAGCATCTTTGACGAAAGTGGATGAAGCGGAGTATATGTGTCCCGATGGATCTTACGCCATTCAAGAAAACATTCCATTACTCATTGCAGGTGTCATAGGTGGTTCTTACAGCAGTGTCTCCATACAGGTAAGACATTTCAAAACGTGCACCCTCCGGAGAGAACTATTCATCTTGAGCTTCCCTGAAAGAAAAACCTACTAAATACGGTACAGATCATGGGTCAAATTTGTTCCTAGAGCCAATGAATTTACACCAAGATGAACCTAAACCAAATTGATTTTAAAAAAAAATCTGCTAAAACTTAAATATGGGTAGGCTGGACATTTCCTTTAGTGATAGTAGAACCTGTGGGACTTTGTGATTTTGAAAAAATTAGATAATATATTGTAAGCTTTGACTTTCCCAGAACTTTTTTGAATATCAAGATTTTTTTAAAATCTCAATTCACACCATTGTTTTCACACGGAAATTTAACACCACCATATATATTTCTGAGTAAATGGAAGCCTTTGTCGTGCAAATAGTAAAGATGATTTTTAAAGTAATTCTTTCCCTAGGCCGACCAAAGAATAAAATAAAATAAAATAAAATATCATGTAACAGCCCAAAACTTGCATTACACCAGAACCAAAGGGAACTTGACCTCCAGACATTAGAGTTTTGCATTAAGGGCCTGATCTAAAACCGACTTAAGCCAACAGAAGTTTTTCTACTGTCTTCAATGCTCATTGGATGAGATCTTGTATCTAGAAGCCACAATTTTAATGGGTTCTAAATTTGCTGTGATTTCTTTATGTCTTTGTATTGTTCGTGATAAGAATGTGTTTAACTCTCTGCTGTGTATGAATGGGGAAGGTGTCTGAAGAGGTGCCTATAAGGCTAAGTGCTATAAGAAGTCTGACTTCAGCTGATTAGGTTTTAGCTTAATTAGAGAAGAGACCCTGACTTTTTGTTTTGTACATCAAGTGAATGTACAAGAACAGATATTTTCCTCCATTTTTTTACAGAGATTCTGCCTGCTCCTCTACCTATCTAGTATGTCTACCGCACCCATTGCCACAGTGTCAGGGTTCTGAGACTTCCAAGCTTCTTCCAAAACGTTCATCTCTTGCCTCAGAATGCAATTCCCGTCACTATAAAAATCCTCGTGCATCTTTGGGGAAGGCTGATCTATTTTCAGTTCTTCTCTGCTGAACCAAAATTTACCCCCCTTATTCACAAAGGAGCAGTGTTTTACTCCTCAAACAGTCCCATCTAAACAGAAGGGACAACCTGTCAGTAAGGTGCTACACACTGTATTATATCAGTATCAAACAGGACAAAATCCTGCCCTGTGCTACTGGCGGAGAAAGAAGTCATAGGGACCTTCATCTGCCCCTTGCAGAAACAGGACAGGATTTCAGCTAGTGCTAACTTCAACTAGCACTAAGGTGAGGGACTGACTGTCACCCTAGCCAGCACACCAAGGCTCCACTGGCTTGGGAAGACAGCCAGGTCCCTATGCTAACATCACAGAGTTATCATGAGTTCAGAATGTCCACTAAGAGAGAATACAGCCTCCTCTTTTTGGCCCAGACTGTGGCCTGTTCGGCATGCTCATGCAGGAGAGTTATGGGGGGAGGAGCAGGCTCTGGAAAGCTGCTACCCCCTCCCACGTAAGGCGTGGGTTGAGCTTTGACTCTACCCCACAATGTACCAGACAGCCATGCCAGGGGATGTATTCTGTGCCAGATACAGGGTTGGTGAAGGGCATGTTCCTCCCCACCAGAGCAGGGGAGGAACCAGGAAGCAGCTTGTGACTCCAGAGTCCTGGGCTGTACCGTTGGTGGCTCTGCCCAATACACAGGCCTCGACAGTTTAACTCTAAAGGAAGAGTAAGCACATCCTTATGTGCATGTCCTGCCAGCATTCCTGGAACATCCTGCTGTGTGCTATCTGGATGGCTCTAGGACCTACTGCCCTGCCCACATCATTCCACCTCTTTGCCCCCAGCCTCTGGCACCTGCGAGGGCAGGATTAGGTCCTGCGCCTTATGAGGCACACGGGAAAGAGCGTGCATCGCAATGATTATGCTAACAGCTGTGTCAGCCTCCCTGAGCTTTGGTTATGGATGATGAAACAGCAGTAAGCTTACTAATAATTGATACTCTATTGCTTCCGTTCACCCAGCAGCACCTCCTGATTCTTGGGACACTCCCATTGACATCAGTAGGAATGGACAAGCCAAGAGCTCAAGGAGTTTGAGTGCAGATGTCAAGAATTTCCAACATAGGAGCCTAAGGTTAAATACCTGAATCCATATCTAGGCATCTCACTAAGGAGGCCTGATCTTTAGGGGTGCCGCTCCCATTGGCTTCTGTGGGAGTTGTAGGCACTCAGCGCCTTGAAAATCAGGCCTTGTTAATTACTGGATGGGCCTGCATGTCAGAGGGGCTGAGAACTCACAGGTCCGATGACTTCAAGGCAAATGGCATTTTGGGATGTATAAGTAGGGGCATAGCGAGCAGATTGAGGGACGTGATCGTCCCCCTCTATTCGACATTGGTGAGGCCTCATCTGGAGTACTGTGTCCAGTTTTGGGCCCCACACTACAAGAAGGATGTGGATAAATTGGAGAAAGTCCAGCGAAGGACAACAAAAATGATTAGGGGTCTGGAACACATGACTTATGAGGAGAGGCTGAGGGAACTGGGATTGTTTAGTCTGCAGAAGAGAAAAATGAGGGGGGGATTTGATAGTTGCTTTCAACTACCTGAGAGGTGGTTCCAGAGAGGATGGTTCTAGACTATTCTCAGTGGTAGAAGAGGACAGGACAAGGAGTAATGGTCTCAAGTTGCAGTGGGGGAGGTTTAGATTGGATATTAGGAAAAACTTTTTCACTAGGAGGGTGGTGAAACACTGAAATGCGTTACCTAGGGAGGTGGTAGAATGTCCTTCCTTAGAAGTTTTTAAGGTCAGGCTTGACAAAGCCCTGGCTGGGATGATTTAATTGGGGATTGGTCCTGCTTTGAGCAGGGGGTTGGACTAGATGACCTCCTGAGGTCCCTTCCAACCCTGATATTCTATGATTCTATGATTCAGTTAGAAACGGAGGTGTTCCGATTTAGAAAATCAGGCCCACCGTGTTGCTAAATATGGATTGAAGTGTCTGACTTTAAGCAATTCATGTTTGACCTCAAAGAATTAAGCAGCTGCAGATCCACACCACACTTTCTCTGGGAAAGCCACAACATAATCTATGCTGAGCCCTTCAGACAGGAAAACATTTCTGTTTTTTGTGTCTTGTGAATTTGCTGTTGTATTTCTGAACCTCCGCCTTAGATTTCTGTCTGGACAGCTGCCTGCCCAATCACTTCATGGTGCTCCCACTGTCAGATTTCTGCTTTTTTCATTATTCTTCCACTCAGGAAAGATAATTCTTTGGTAAGCCAGAAATAAGCATATGTCCCTCAGAGCCAGTGTATACAACAGACACTTTTTGCAGATAGCAGAAACTACAAGAGAATGTGAAATGCTTACTTTCTTGGTCAGACTTAACTATCATTAATGAAACCTGGGATAATTAGTCTTCAGATGCTATGTATAAATTAGCAATGAGCCCAATCCACACACAGCCTGATCCTGGAAAGCCCTTGCCCAGGAGGTTAATATTTCATTACTCATGAGAGCACTCCCATTGCTGTCTATAGAACTACTTGCATAAGTAAAGACTATTTGCATGATTTAAGGTTTGGGGTCAGGCCCAGAGTTTCATTCAGATTTGGAGATGGATTCTCCAAAGTTCAGGGACATTCACATCAGGGTTTGGTTGGTTCCTAGCTCTAGTTTAAATGAGACAGTCATCCTGGTCTCAGCTAATCTACAGCAGGATTTTTGGACATATTGTTAATGTAGTGATCATTAAAGAGTCTATGTTAAGTTCCGTTTTAAGTGGGAGGGGAGAAAAGGGGAGCCGGATCTCTGTATGTGGGCACTGTAACACCATGTCCAAATGCCATGTTTAGACACTCAGGTGAGCACTTACAGGAATTTACAAGTGTAAGTAGTGATTCATGTGTCCAGATACTGGACTTGTATGTCTAGATTCACATCCACTTTTGAAAACTGGACCGACCTGCTGTCTTTAATGTAGGAATGAGATCCATTCACCCTACCACCAAGGTTTCTTTCTTAGGAGTATAAAGACATCGATTTAAGTGGACTATATGCTGTGCATTCCCACATCAGAAAGTAGGTATTTCCACAACGATATAGAACTCGGTCCTACCAGAAAATGCCTCCATGTTTCAGATCCATAACATTCCCTGGGATACAACCATGAAAGTTATTTCTGAATTAAGCCCTTCCTTAGTGGCAGAACAATGTCAGAGCAGCCTCTCTATGCTGCCCTCATCTCAGGGTGCAGAACTTTTTGCTAGGCCCAGTACAGCTGCTACATGTAGCAACCAGGCTTTGGAGAATGATTAGGGGCATATCACTGAGCCTATTAAGACCCCCACATCCACACCTAGGAACAGGGTCTTCCCTTACTGAATAAATGACTGTTATAATTCTGGGAGGGAAATTCAGAGAGAGACAGTTGTGATAAGGAGGTGTTCTCTCCTTGACTGACAGATTGCTTCAACCACGCAGCTCTACCAGGGACAGTGGGGAAAGCGGACATATGGCCTGAAAACTTATCCCCTCCGCAAACAAACAAAAAATCTACAGCCATACAATCAGAGACCATAAAGAATATGTGACCAGTGTAACCAATAAAAACAGCATGAATTACAGATTCTCAATATTTACAAAGAACCATTTGCAAAAAATCCCATAGCACTACTTAGCACTCAGCCTAGAAGGGTCAGTGACAAAAAAATTGCTTCTTCTACTTCCCCTTTGCTAGGAAGCTTGATTGGTTCCTTCAAGGTCTAAAGCCATAAACCAGAGCTTTCACTGCCTCCTGGCTGGGTCACTAGCTCATTTTAAAAGTGGCAGCATTGCAGAGACGGCAGCTCAATCAAATCAGTATCTTAGATGTCTGTATACTAATGCGAGAAGTATGGGGAATAAGCAGGAAGAACTCGAAATGCTAGTAAATAAACACAACTATGACATAGTTGGCACCACGGAGACTTGGTGGA